TTACAGTAGGTTGCATTGTGGTTAGTTTCCATCACTTCTTGGTCGATTTCTTGTATTTGTGCTTCTGTGAGAAGCCAAAGTGGTGATGGAGAGATCCATATTTGGTCAATTCTACTGAATGTGTCTTCTGTATTGCTCCATGTGTATTGGGTACTATATGGGTTGATTTCTCAAAAGGTATCTATAAATTGATTGTTTGATAGCCGTTGTATGAGCTTTCCTGTTGAAAGTTGTTACTTTGCCTTTGGAAACTTTGAGTTGGGTATATCTATACTGAAATTGGGAACTGAGTTGAAGTCTCCTAGTATAATTATTTGGCTATTTGAGATTTTTGCTTCGTTGATTAGTTTAAGGACTTCTTTGGTGCACTCTTGATTTGACTAGTGTGCTTGGGCAGGGATATAAATGTTAATAATTCTGAGTTTGCATTTGAATTTGAAAAGTAGATCTATTGAAATTATTCTGTCTTTCCATATATGCTTTTGGTCAATATGTTTGGCTAGATTTTTTTTAATTAATAGTGCTACTCCAAACCCTTTTATATGATTACTTATGTTACTCCATGTGGTTTGGTAGTCAGAGAATTGAATAAATTTTCCTTCTGTGTTGTTTAGGTTTGTTTTTATGAATGCGAGGATACTCAGTTTATGTTTATTGATCCATTCTATCCAGAGGAGTAGTTTTCCTGGGTTCGATTTAAGACCTCTGACATTTGTTGTGAAGATATTCCAGGTTTGTCCTGTGATTTGATAGTTAAGAATGTGTTCGGGGTGTTGTTTATAGGATGTGGTAGTATTGTTTGTTGGTGTGATTAATTTTTCTTATGGAGATTTAGGGTTATCATGGGATATTGGTGATGGTGTATCAGTGTTTTCATTTGTTGTAGAGTCTGAATCTACCATGATGGATTTGTTACGAGTTGTTGTGTTCTGAGTGAGGGATTATTGAGGTTGTTGGTTTGATGGTTATGTGTTATATTTATATTCACATGTTTATTGTTATCATTGGAATAGTTGTGTGTATTTCTCATAGTTATTGATTATTAGAAGTCTTGGTTGAGGTTTGGGCTAAAGCATCCATTGTGGTGAAAATTTGGTTCATTTTATCTTGCATCCCATCGATAGAGGAGAAGAGTTATGTTTGTGTGTTTCTGAGGTCTTCAAAGCTATCTTCAGATGCGAATTGTGTGCTGTTAGATTGTGATGTGGATATTGAGTCTTGCGATATTAGTGTTTGTTCACTATCCATTGATTCATAGTATTCTTCATTATAATATTCCAGGTTGGTGATATGCTCGTCCAGTTCTGCCACTTGATATTTGATAGTATTCAGTTGTTGCTTAATTTTTCTGAGGATAGTACCAATGTCTTTGAGGGTTGTTGGGTTCTCCTATTTAGATTTGGTTGTTTGGAAAACTGCTGTTGCATATATCCCTGCTTTTGATATTTTGGGTATTCTTGGTTTGTTGATATTGCAGATTGATGAAGTTTTTTCTGGTCAGAATTTGTTGTAAAGGTCTCTGAATTTAGTTGACTGGTTTTTGTTGTAAGTGTCTCATTGGAGTTGCCGTTCCTTGGTGGGGCAGTTTTTGGCTAGGTGAGAAGGTGCATCACATATTGCACATAGTTTTGTTGAGATTGGAGTGAATGAGAGGATTGTTTCTCCTTGTTGGTATTGTATTTGTGCTGCTGTTAAAAGGGCTTCTTGTGTTTCAAAGCTGATAACTGCAAATCTTTTGGGTTTGTAACCCTTGTTTGCTACCCTTGGGATGTAGCATGTGCATTCCTTGCATTGTATAAGGATGTTTTTGATATCCCATGCTGATGTGTTGGAGGGAGGTTCGTTAGTTTGTAGTGATCTCATGTCTTTATTTCATTTGTTGAAGTGTCCATTTTGCATCATTGATTCTCACTGAGTCTCCTTTGATTAGGATGCTTCTGGCATTTACTAGTTTGTATTTGGGTTCTTGATCTTCGAAAGTAATTGTGACACATTGCTACAAGTTCTGGGTTTTCATAGTGATGCCTTGGATTTGATCATAATTGGCAAAGGCTTGTTTGACTTCTATAAGTCTTGTGTTCAAGGGGATGTCCCACACTACTATGAAGTTTCCTTTATTGATTTGTTGGCAGCCGGTTTCCATATATGTCAGCCTATTGTTGTCCATTTCTGGGAGCTCTATGGTTATTACGTATTCCGCTGCATGTTGATCTGCAAAGATAGCAATAATTTGATGTCTTCTTTTTTCCCTTCGTTATATACTGTCAGAAGTCTTTCAGGGGAGTTGAGGGCTAGAATGATGTGTTCTAGTTTTTGGTATATGGTTTTTTCTTTAACTAGTTTTGCTGGGATGCCAACCTTGTATCGTTCTCATCCATATCGAATTGTTCTGTTAAATGGTGATTTGGATCTTGGTCTGCCCTGGGGGTTGTCAATTTCTCTATTTTTGCCTTTAGAAATGGTAAACCATTTTTGTTCTGAGTTGTTTTCCTCTTCGGTTTCTATCTCTTCATCTAGACTGTTGTTTCGAGCTGTTGGTGGTTTATGGATAGTGGTTCTTCTATAGTGTTTTTCTTGTTGCTTACTCTGTTCATTGGTTGTGTTGAGTTATATTTCTACTATATCACTCCATGAAGAGATTGATGCCTCTGATTCTTGGCTTTGTTGAGGTGAATGTTCTATCTCTTGTTGTTAATTTTCTTGAAGCATTGTTTCTTGTTGTATGGAAGTGCTAGTTGTGTTGTTGTTGGGTTGATGGTTATTGTTGGGAATAGTGGTTGCCATTGATTGTGTGGGCTTTTTGGTTGCTGTCGTGATGAGTTTCTTTGCATATGTTTGAATTCTAGCTAGGTCCAGTTCTTTGCCGGCTCTTTTGTTGTATCTCAAGGTGTGTTCTGTAATTGTGGGAAGGTTGTTGGAATCTCTGGGACTTCTGTTGTAACTTTTCATCTTTCTTTACCTTTTATCTTAAAAGTTTCCAAAAAAGAAAATTTTTAAGGATCTGGTTGGTTACGGGAAAGAGTTTTTTTTTTTTTTTTTGTTTCATGGTGTAATTTACTTACTATCTTTTCCATTATCAGTTGGTTATTTACTTGGGAGGTATATCACTTGAACCTGTCATGGTCATTGTGGACCATCTGGATTTGATCTTTTGGGTTAAGTTCTGAAGTGATTATTCCTTGTTGTAGGAAATTATTGACTGTGATCCTGAGTTCCTTGTACCAGCTTGATTCCTTCCTCTTGTTTGTCTTGTTGCTGATTAGTCCTATTTGATGCCAGTTAATTGTTTTCATTTGAAAAGTATTCAGGATCTGGTTGATATGTGATATTCTGTATGTTCTGAGATGGGATCAGTGTTTGTTTATCTATTCAGAGTCCATAATGAGTTTAATGTGTGTTGCTTGAGACTTAGAAATCATATCTTCAGAGTATGTAATATAGATATTAAATTCTTAGATCATTCTGAGACCTTCATGTAGAAAGTTGTATATTGGTTTATGAATTTCTGAGTAGTGTTATAGGTCACGTGAGTAATGCGATTTACGTGTAATGGTCTAGAATCCAAAAACCTGAAAGTCTGGCATGAAAGATTGAGTATTGCAAGGTAAGAAACTATAGATAAGGCTCGGGTACTGATAAGGGAACTATGTGTATCTGAAAAAGTATGGAAAGTTTAGCAAAGCTTAGGGTTAGTATAGCCGATTATAAAGTAGATAGCCCATTGTTAGTTAGAAAAGTATAAATAGCTTACCAATATATGCCGAAAAGGCAGAGCTGAATGTGTTAGGAAAAACAGCCCTCCTTGAGAATAGAGATAAGAATTAGTGAGATACCAAAGAAACTGAACGCAATAAAGAGATACTTACCTTTAGCCAAGTCAATCACCACGCCTCTACCTTCCCTAAGTGTTTTTTATAGAAGCCATTCTCTTCTTTGTGAGTATTCATGAGATAACTGGGTTATGCGAGGCACTACGGTTTAGCGATAGACTCACCAGTTTAGCCCATAACAGCAGTCTTCTAGGATATTTTTGTCCTGCCATGCCATCCATTGGAGTTGGTTGATTCTGAGTCTTGTGACTCTTTCTGCTGTGATGTAATCTTGAATACATTTCCATGATATTGTATATTGTGAGTGGATGTATTATTGAGGTGAGACATGTTGCCACCAGCTTGACCCTTCGGCAGAAATTTTGTCTATTAGATTGTCTATCTTGATAACTTTTGCTTTTGTTAGTATTATGTCTTGTATTAAATATTCAATTTACAGAAAAAGGATGCTGTTTATGACATATTGGTACATCTTGTCTGTCATTCCCTTCCATTTGGTTATGTTAGAGATTGTTTTGACTTTCTGTTCAATTAAGTGTTGTTGATATTTTATCCCTGCTTTTGCTTCATGCCATGTTTCAAGAACTCTTACTGCTGCTATGTTTATATTGGGTTGTATCAGTTGGTCTTGAAACAGTAGTGATTCTTTTGATTTATTGAGAATTAGGAGATCAGATTTGGTTAGATTTATGGTGATGTTATTAAGGTAGTAGAAGGAACTGCTGGCAATAGTTATTAGCTCCAGGGCCTCTTGGTTTTGTGTTATGAAGGTTGTATCATCCATATAAACTACACTAGAAATATTGATGTTGCCTTCCTTATTTTTCTGGTTGGTTATTTGATCTCCTTTTATTTTACTTATATGGCTGATGAGGGGGTCATAGTATATTCTCCATAGTAGTGGGGAAATTGTGTCACCTTGATCAATTCCTTCTTGTACTGTGTAAGGATCTGTGTCTTCAAAGAAGGTTATTATTTTGTTTTGTCTATTTGTAAATACATCTTCTATAAGTTTGATGATTTTGGGGGGGATTTTAATTCTCTCCATTGCTAAGGTGAGTCTTTCAATGTTGACTATATTGTATGCTTTGCTCATGTCTTGAAAGAGTATGTAGCAAGGTTTTTTGAGTTTGTGTGCATCTTCTAATATATTGTTAATTATACAGATATATTCTCTTGTGCTTAGCTTCGGGAGTGCTGCCCAGTTGTGTTCCGACAAGATCTCATGCTTAATCAGTACTTGGTTTAGCCTTTTAGTGATGATCTTGGAGAAAATCTTTTTTGTTGTCTCCAGTAATGTGATGGGTCTGGTTATATTAATATCGTGTTGCCAGTCTTTAGGTTTAGAAATCAGATAGATTGTTTCCTGTTTCTATTCTTTTAGGATTGACTCTTCTTCCATTATTCTATTGTATAAAAAAGTGAGGTTATGTATTATGTTTTTTTCCTAGCTTTTGAAGACTATGTATGGTATCCCTAATGGTCTTGAAGCTGACTTGTTGCTCATTCCTGTTATGACTTCTTGTACTTTTTCTTTTGTAATTGGGGCAGTTGTCAGAAGGTACCATTTCTCTAAGACTGTATTAAGTGGATTGTATTCTCATTACCAAATTGTTACTTTATGGTTGTGGATATTTCTCTTCTTGATCCATGACTCGAAGTGTAGGAGAATTGTATCTTTTATTGCTTCTGGCTCACTAATTACTTGTTTTTTTCCTTTTGTGTAATCTATAAGTCATATGGTTACTATGTTTCTTTTCGTATTGTTTAGAATTGATCTTATCATTCTTTTTTTTTGTTAGTTTCTAGCCATTTCTCTCTTGTTTCTTTGAATTGTTTGATATCTTTGGCAATTCTCTCAGCATTGTGTTGTTTAAACTTGTTTCTTTTCATTTTTATTATTAGGTCCAACCTTTTCCTGTATTCTTGTTTGTTAATTATGGCTGACAATTCTGAGAGTGGTATAGTTTGAGTATTGGCTTTATATAGTGTTGCAGTTTCTCTTTTTATCATAACCTTTCTTGTATTGTTTTCCTGTTTTTTCCCCATGTATTTCTTAGTTTGTTGAGCTAAAGGAGAAGAATTGTGTTGTTTTGTGGAAGTGTTCTGTGTTGTCAATGTTGTCATTCTTTTATTTTGTCTATATGTTTTTTGACTGTGCCTAGGATCTTTTCTCTGAAGCTGTACCAACATTGATTAATTGTTTTGTGCTAATCTTATATAATGTCCTGCCATTCATCTGCAAAATCTTCCATTTTCTCAGTAAATTTTTCCCATTATTGTGCATAAGTACTGTTTAAACTAAATCTGATATTACCATGTGGTCTGTGATATCTTCTAACTTTCTTGACTAGTTGCCATGATTTGATTATATATGTTTGTACTTGATGATCAGTATCAAGAAGATCTTTTCAACTAACATGGATATATGTGTCTATCAATACCCATATTGGTCTGGAGTTGTACCAAATGCTGTCTATCCTACTTGCAGTATTATTTGAATGCCATAAGTATTCTTTTTTGTTTGGGTTATGGAACCTATATATGTCAATGAAGCCTTTTTCACTGAGCGTATCAAAAAACTTGTTGTATTTTTTAGTGTTTATCTTACGATTTTCATTGAATTTATCTATGATTGGATTAGGGTAAGTGTTGAAGTCTCTAGTGATGATTGTATGCCAGTTTAAGCTGTTGTGTTGGCTGGCCCATGCTAGTATTTTTTGTTGAATCTGTTGTCTTTCTTTGCCTAGCTGAGTGGATGAATAAACTCCTATGATTCTACAGTATTGTTTTTTGGAGAGGGCCAGGTCGATGCAAAGGAGTCTGCCTTTAAATTCCATTTTGTTGAACATGTGTATTGCGATATCCTTTTTATTGCTATTCCAACTCCTGATCCTAGTGATTTACTAACTATCCACCATGATGTATATGCTTTTGTTTTCCAGAATTGTGTTTTTCCTAGTCCGTTTGTTTCTGTTGAGACTATTATGTCCTATTGATGTTTTTTCCCACATTTTGAACCAAATTTCTTATTTGTCTGCTTGTATTAATTCTTGGCAGTTGAGTGTTGTAATTGTTCAATAAGGTTTGTTTGTGTTAGAGACTTGTTAATTGATGCTATTGCATTATGAGTGTGGTTTTTTTCTTTTTCTTTATTGAGTCATTACTGTATTCTTGATGGGTACTATTTGAATTGTTTTGAAGTTATGTGTCTCCCCTTGTTTTTGTTTTGATTATGTGTTTGTGTTATGAGGTGGTCAGCTGACTTTTGTTTCTTTGGTTGTTGTTATTTGCTTCTTGAGTAGTTGTGTTGCTAGGGTCTTCTATGTTGTCATTGTTGTTAGAGTTGTTATCTATGATGTTTTCCATAGTTAAAAAAATTCTGGGTGTTGGTGTCTTCTCTTATGTCATATGGGATCAAGTCAGAGATTGTGTTGACTAAAGCTGTCATTGTCTGATCCATGCTGCCAATGGATTTTTGTAGCTGATGTTGTTGTTGTAGGATGTTCTGTGTAGAGTTTGATATTATTTGTTTCTTGTCCTGATATTGTTGATCTCTTGTGAGGCTTCATCCATGTTTAATGTGTAGTTCTTGTCCCAGTTTTCTAGGTTTACGATTCATTCATCTAGATCTGCAACTGTCTCTTTGATTGTGTGGATTTTTTCTTTGAGCTCTTGGATGTAATTGAGAATTTCCTGAAAAGCTTCTTGTCTAAATTTGAGTGACTCTGTTACTTTATTTCTTCCTCTAACTATGGCTGCATAGAAGCCTGGTTTGGTTTCTCTCAGATTTCTTGCTTATGCAATTTTTATGATGTTTAAGGTTTTGGCTGGCTTGTAGCACATGTAAAGTTTGCCATATTTGTCTGCTTGTGACTGTTTAATTTATTCCATTGTAGCCTCCGTTCTTTGATGTGACAATCTTTTACTAAGTGATTGGGGTTATCACAGATCATACATAATTTTGTCTCAATTGGGTTTCATTCGACAGTGATTTTTCCTAAGTTGTAATTTGTTTCCATTGCTTGATGCAAAGTTTATTTTGATTTGAAACTAATCACTGCATAAAATTTACGTATATAGTTCATTCTTTATGGAATGTAGCAGGTTTTGCCCCTGGCTTGTTGAATGATTTGACAGAGATTAAAGGCATTGGTACCTGGTGATAGGTTTGTTAGTTTGACAGAAAAGTTTCTTCTGTCCTTCATCTATTGTAGGTTCCATTGGGAGTCAAAGATTCTGATGGAGTTTGCTTTGCATAGTATGCTTCAGTTGTTGAGTAGTTTCTCTTTGTCTGTTGTGTTCATAAAGGTGATAATGGCAGATTGTCATATGCGTTGTGTAGATACTGTGACGTTACTGATCTGGCCGTGTTTGGCAAAGAGTTGTTGGAACTCATGTACTATTGTGTCCAGGGGGATGTCCCATGCTGTTATACTATTTTCCTTGTTTATACTATATAGAATAATTGATATAAGTTCAAGTCTGAGATTGTCTGTTTGGGGTATTTGAGTGTTACTTGTGTCCTTAGCTGATTGCTGATCACTGAATAAGGCAGTGATGTACTCCTAGTTGTTGATTTTCTCACTGCGCATGCTGCTAATGCCTTTAGGGGTGCTGAGAGCCTTGTACATGTATGCTAGCTTCTGATATATTGTTTTTCCAGGGTGTTTATCAGATGAAATGCCGAGTTTGAACCTTTCACGTCCATATCTAATGTTCTTATCGAAGGGGGATCACGGTCATAGCTTATATGCTCCATTTCTCGTGCTTCTTTCTCTGGGGTCACCGCGGGGTTGTTGTCTCCATTTCTCATCATTTTCATCCATCATGAGGTTATTCTCGAGCTCCATGTCGACATCCATATATTCTTGGCCATCTCGACCATTTCTATATGGGATTGCTATGAAAGGGATTTGAGTGAGTTTCATTCATTGGGTTCTGGGTTGTGTTTCGTGCTGGGCGAGCTTGACACTGTAAAGCTTGTTTCTTCCATGTAGTTACTTCATGAGATTTACACAGGGGCATCTTCTCTGACGGTGTATTGCAGGGCATTGTCCTTCCACTGTTTTTCTTCCCACACATTCGTGTGTTTCAGTTTTGGCAGGAACTTTGGTTTCAAGAGTTTTGGTTTGTTTTTGGGCTTCTGTTCTCGAGTTCCAAGTGCAAGGTTCCAGGATTTGGTTTGCCCTCTAGCCAGATCTTCTTCGTTATAGTTCAGTTGGGTGTGGTTATTTGAGCTCTGAAGGAGCCTTCTTGCAGACATCTTTTTCATTTGTTTGCTTTGTGATTGTGCTTACTGCACCACTGACAAATGGGAAAAGAGTGGTATGTTTTGTTAATATTGAATTAGTATACAATATCTGAGGATGAAGTTGAAATAGAAAGAGATTCTAAAAAAAGAATAGATTTAGAAAGGAGGGAAAAAAAAAACCGTAATTTTCAAGGTAACAAACATACTACTAGAATAATAGAACCATCTCAACGTTTTACCACTGATAGTAACAGGGAGCCAATAAAACCCTGTTATAGAAGACATTGGAATAATAGATCTGAAAGTTCCTATTTTGAAAGTGAAAGTAATCAAGATCCTCTTCACCAGATTCTAAACAATCTTAAACAACTAAATAATAGAATAAACATAATTGAAGGAAAAACA